AGAGAGAGAGAGAGAGAGAGAGAGAGAGAGAGAGAGAGAGAGAGAGAGAGAGAATCTTTCTTTCTACTGGCAATAGATACCATGTGCTTTGCTCTGAAACTCATTTCTTTTTTGAAGTTATGGGTCCTGGTTTCACCTGGTGGAGGATTCTGAGAAGTTCCCAGGGAGCTACCGGTGTGGATCTGTGTTCCTATTGCTGATAACACATCAGGTCGGTGGACACAGCAAAATGGAGACACCTCTGCTATAGGCCTTGGGATACTATCAAGATGTTCTTAGGTTTGGGTTGGCGGAAGCTAAGTGTCTGTTCTTGCATTCCAGAGGATTTACAGAACAGTTACAAAAAAAGTTAGGTCACACTGAGGTGTGAAAGGGAAGCTGTTAGGGGGCTAAGGCTGGCCTGTCTGGTTTGGCTCTGGACCTGCAACTTCCTAACTCTGAAGTTCTAATCGGTCAGTCAGATTTTGTAGGTGTTTTTTCTTTCTGGGGAATTTCATTCACACAGAATTGTAAGAGCAAAAATTGATCTGTAGGCCCCACCTGCCCAAAGACAAGGTAACTTTCTGGAATGCTGGGAGTTGTAGTTCTTGAGAAATAGCAAGCTACATATTTCGTGCCCCTAAACAAATTTGTTTGCCCCAACTACTCCAGATATACTTGATCACATGCAGGCAGGAGGTATGCGGGAAGGACATGCATTAAGATGTATGCTTGCTGTTGTGCCCAAATCCACAAAGTCTCCCAAAAGCCAACAAGGAGACTGAGTCCTATATGTAAAAGCAAAGAGCCTTTATTTTACACAAGTTTACAAACTCGGTCTCTTTGCATGTCCAATGGAATAAACAGAGAGCCTTGAGCTCAGTTAGAATGGGGTTTTATAGTAGTAAAGTGGGGGTGAGGGGTTTCTGAGGTTCAGGACCCCTGATTGGCTGACATTTGTCTAGGGGTATCCTGGTGAGTGTGCTAGCAGGTGGTCCTATCTACAGCAGTTGGAATGTTAGGCATTCCTTTGGATGGTCTGTTTTTGGGTGGTTCCATGCTAGGTAGTCTCAGTTTGTGGTTCTTCCGGCAACCAAGTATTGCTTCAGGGTAAACTACTGAGACTCAGGCCTCTATTAAATTTATCAGTGGCTGAGTCCTACTCTGGCAGGTGATAATGGTTGGAAGTAAAGTGCTTCCTTTGGGTGGTCTGTTCATATTTAGCTTTTCATGGCTGGCTCCTACAGTTGCCCCTGATTGGACCTGTTGGCAAATGCAATGAATTATGGATTTTCTGAATTTTTTTTGTTTTAGACAGGGTTTGCCTGTGTAACGCTGGTTGTCCTAGAACTGATCTGATTGGCTTCAAACTCA